ACCTGAACAATCGAAAATAAAATCGATTGTAAGCCCCGTTCAGCAGGTATAGCCAGATGAGAGTTGTCCCTCTTAGCTTACTTTTATTCTGGTTAAACACAATGTTCAACAGCGCATAGATAACAATAACCTAGCAGATTACATACAGTGAGGGAAAAAATAATTTGATCCCCTGCAGCTCCGTCCACAGATTTCCTATGGGATTAAGGTCTGGAGACTGGCTAGGCCACTCCAGGACCTTAATGTGCTTCTTCTTGAGCCACTCCTTTGTTGCCTTGGCCGTGTGTTTTGGGTCATTGTCATGCTGGAATAACCATCCACGACCCATTTTCAATGCCCTGGCTGAGGGAAGGAGGTTCTCACCCAAGATTTGACGGTACATGGCCCCGTCCATCGTCCCTTTGATTTTTTTTATTTATTTCACCTTTATTTAACCAGGTAAACCAGTTGAGAACAAGTTCTCATTTACAACTGCGACCTGGCCAAGATAAAGCAAAGCAGTGCGATAAAAAACAACAATACAGAGTTACATATGGGGTAAAACAAAACAAAGTCAAAAATACAGAAACAGAAATACATATATATACAGTGTGTGCAAATTTAGCAAGTTATGGAGGTAAGGCAATAAAATAGGCTATAGTGCAAAATAATTACAATTTAGTATTAACACTGGAATGATGTGCAAGAGATGATGTGCAAATAGAGATACTGGGGTACAAATGAGCAAAATAAATAACAATATGGGGATGAGGTAGTTGGGTGGGCTAATTTCAGATGGGCTGTGTACAGGTGCAGTGATCGGTAAGGTGCTCTGACAACTGATGCTTAAAGTTAGTGAGGGAGATAAGTGTCTCCAGCTTCAGAGATTTTTGCAATTTGTTCCAGTCATTGGCAGCAGAGAACTGGAAGGAATTGCGGCCAAAGGAGGTGTTGGTTTTGGGGGTGACCAGTGAGATATACCTGCTGGAGCGCAGACTACGGGTGGGTGTTGCTATGGTGACCAATGAGCTAAGATAAGGCGGGGATTTGCCTAGCAGTGATTTATAGATGGCCTGGAGCCAGTGGGTTTGGCGACGAATATGTAGTGAGGACCAGCCAACAAGAGCGTACAGGTCACAGTGGTGGGTATTATATGGGGCTTTGGAGACAAAACGGATGGCACTGTGATAGACAACATCCAATTTGCTGAGTAGAGTGTTGGAGGCTATTTTGTAAATGACATCGCCGAAGTCAAGGATCGGTAGGATAGTCAGTTTTACGAGGGCATGTTTGGCAGCATGAGTGAAGGAGGCTTTGTTGCGAAATAGGAAACCGATTCTAGATTTAACTTTGGATTGGAGATTCTTAATGTGAGTCTGGAAGGAGAGTTTACAGTCTAACCAGACACCTAGATATTTGTAGTTGTCCACATACTCTAGGTCAGACCCGTCTAGAGTAGTGATTCTAGTCGGGTGGGCGGGTGCAAGCAGCGTTCGGTTGAAGAGCATGCATTTAGTTTTACTAGTGTTTAAGAGCAGTTGGAGGCTACTGAAGGAGTGTTGTATGGAATTGAAGCTCGTTTGGAGGTTTGTTAACACAGTGTCCAATGAAGGGCCAGATGTATACAAAATGGTGTCGTCTGCGTAGAGGTGGATCTGAGAGTCACCAGCAGCAAGAGCGACGTCATTGATATACACAGAGAAAAGAGTTGGCCCAAGAATTGAACCCTGTGGCACCCCCATAGAGACTGCCATAGGTCCAGACAACAGGCCCTCCGATTTGACACATTGAACTCTATCTGAGAAGTAGTTGGTGAACCAGGCGAAGTTGTCCTTCAAATCGCACCAACTGTTGTCACCTTCTCACCAAGCTGCTTGGCGATGGTCTTGTAGCCCATTCCAGCCCTGTGTAGGTCTACAATCTTGTCCCTGACATCCTTGGGAGAGCTCTTTGGTCTTGGCCATGGTGGAGAGTTTGGAATCTGATTGATTGATTGCTTCTGTGGACAGGTGTCTTTTATACAGGTAACAAGCTGAGATTAGGAGCACTCCCTTTAAGAGTGTGCTCCTAATCTCAGCTCGTTACCTGTATAAAAGACACCTGGGAGCCAGAAATCTTTCTGATTGAGAGGGGGTCAAATACTTATTTTCCTCATTAAAATGCAAATCAATTTATAACATTTTTGACATGCGTTTTTCTGGATTTTTTTGTTTTTATTCTGTCTCTCACTGTTCAAATAAACCTACCATTAAAATTATAGACTGATCATTTCTTTGTCAGTGGGCAAACGTACAAAATCAGCAGGGGATCAAATACTTTTTTCCCCTCACTGTAGGTTGTGCCACTCTCTCTCTCTCTCTGTGCGTCTCTCTCTCTCTCTGTGTCTCTCTCTCTCTCTGTGTCTCTCTCTCTGTGTCTCTCTCTCTGTGTCCTCTCTCTCTGTGTCTCTCTCTCTGTGTCTCTCTCTCCGTGTCTCTCTCTGTGCGTCTCTCTCTGTGCGTCTCTCTCTGTGCGTCTCTCTCTGTGCGTCTCTCTCTGTGCGTCTCTCTCTGTGCGTCTCTCTCTGTGCGTCTCTCTCTGTGCGTCTCTCTCTGTGCGTCTCTCTCTGTGCGTCTCTCTCTGTGTCTCTCTCTGTGTTCTACCTTTCTAGCCAGTATCTTTCTCCTCCTCTTCTCCTCCTCTGAGCCGTGGTGGGACTGAGCTCTGGTCAGCCTCCTGTGCTGCTGGTTCTGAGGAGATGATCAAACACCAATCAATCCATCAATCAATCGTTCCTTCCTTCCTTCCATCCTTCCATCCATCCATCCATCCATCCATCCATCCAAGCTCATCTGGCTCCAGGAAACTGGCCGTAATACTTACCATTTTCTGCTGTTCTTGGAGTCTCTTTTCCATGCACTCTTTGGCAGTTTTCAAGGCGTCTCTTAATTTGGTGGGGATCTTGAACTGGAGTTTTTCTGAGTGAAACAGCAGCACATCGCTGAACAGCCTGCCGGGACAGAGAGAAAGAGACAGAAACTTCATTATATTCCGCTTCAAAGATGTGCAGCGCTTGTGTGCTCTCTAAAAAGGCAAAGTGATGACTGCTTCAGTGGTAGGCTATGATCAATCAATCAAATATATTTATGAAGCCCTTTTTACATCAGCAGATTCCACAAATAGCTATACAGAAACCCAGCCTAAAACCCCAAACAGCAGCAATGCAGATGTAGAAGCACGGTGGCTAGGAAAAACTCCCTAGAAAGGAAGAAACCTAGGAAGGAACCTAGAGAGGAACCAGGCTTCTGGCTGTGTGTGTCTCTCTCTCTGTGCCGGGTGGAGATTTTAACAGTACATGGCTTTTAAGGCCAGATTTTTCTCCAAGATGTTCAAACATTCATAGATGACCAGCAGGGTCAAATAATAATCTCACTGATGGGTTGTTGTAATGTACTCTACTCAAGGTGTCTGCAGCAGTGTGTGTGTGTGTGTGTGTGTTACTGTACTCTACTCAAGGTGTCTGCAGCAGTGTGTGTGTGTGTGTGTGTGTTACTGTACTCTACTCACAGTGTCTGCAGCAGTGTGTGTGTGTGTGTGTGTGTGTGTGTGTGTGTGTGTGAGACTGTACTCACGGTGTCTGCATCAGTTGTGCAACAGTGGGCATCCCAGTCTTACAGGCCTCTGTGGACAGGATGGATTGCAGCACAGACACTAAGGAGAGAGGCGAGGAAGGGGAAACATCAGGGTCACGTTCATTAGGAGAGGACAGGGAAACGTCAGGGTCACGTTCATTAGGAGAGGACAGGGAAACGTCAGGGTCACGTTCATTAGGAGAGGTCAGGGAAACATCAGGGTCATGTTCATTAGGAGAGGACAGGGAAACATCAGGGTCATGTTCATTAGGAGAGGACAGGGAAACGTCAGGGTCACGTTCATTAGGAGAGGACAGGGAAACATCAGGGTCATGTTCATTAGGAGAGGACAGGGAAACATCAGGGTCATGTTCATTAGGAGAAGACAGGGAAACGTCAGGGTCACGTTCATTAGGAGAGGACAGGGAAACATCAGGGTCACGTTCATTAGGAGAGGACAGGGAAACATCAGGGTCACGTTCATTAGGAGAGGACAGGGAAACATCAGGGTCACGTTCATTAGGAGAGGACAGGGAAACATCAGGGTCACGTTCATTAGGAGAGAGGAGAGGACAGGGAAACGTCAGGGTCACGTTCATTAGGAGAGGACAGGGAAACGTCAGGGTCACGTTCATTAGGAGAGGACAGGGAAACGTCAGGGTCACGTTCATTAGGAGAGGACAGGGAAACATCAGGGTCATGTTCATTAGGAGAGGACAGGGAAACGTCAGGGTCATGTTCATTAGGAGAGGACAGGGAAACATCAGGGTCATGTTCATTAGGAGAGAGGAGAGGACAGGGAAACGTCAGGGTCCGTTCATTAGGAGAGGACAGGGAAACATCAGGGTCATGTTCATTAGGAGAGAGGAGAGGACAGGGAAACATCAGGGTCACGTTCATTAGGAGAGGACAGGGAAACGTCAGGGTCACGTTCATTAGGAAGAGGACAGGGAAACGTCAGGGTCACGTTCATTAGGAGAGGACAGGGAAACATCAGGGTCACGTTCATTAGGAGAGGACAGGGAAACATCAGGGTCATGTTCATTAGGAGAGGACAGGGAAACATCAGGGTCACGTTCATTAGGAGAGGACAGGGAAACTCAGGGTCTGTTCATTAGGAGAGGACAGGGGAAACATCAGGGTCACGTTCATTAGGAGGAGGACAGGGAAACATCAGGGTCACGTTCATTAGGAGAGAGAGAGGACAGGGAAACGTCAGGGTCACGTTCATTAGGAGAGGACAGGGAAACATCAGGGTCATGTTCATTAGGAGAGGACAGGGAAACATCAGGGTCACGTTCATTAGGAGAGGACAGGGAAACATCAGGGTCATGTTCATTAGGAGAGGACAGGGAAACGTCAGGGTCCCGTTCATTAGGAGAGGACAGGGAAACATCAGGGTCACGTTCATTAGGAGAGAGGAGAGGACAGGGAAACGTCAGGGTCACGTTCATTAGGAGAGGACAGGGAAACATCAGGGTCATGTTCATTAGGAGAGGACAGGGAAACATCAGGGTCACGTTCATTAGGAGAGGACAGGGAAACATCAGGGTCACGTTCATTAGGAGAGGACAGGGAAACATCAGGGTCATGTTCATTAGGAGAGGACAGGGAAACGTCAGGGTCATGTTCATTAGGAGAGGACTGGGAAACATCAGGGTCATGTTCATTAGGAGAGAGGAGAGGACAGGGAAACGTCAGGGTCCCGTTCATTAGGAGAGGACAGGGAAACATCAGGGTCATGTTCATTCGGAGAGAGGAGAGGACAGGGAAACATCAGGGTCACGTTCATTAAGAGAGAGGAGAGGACAGGGAAACGTCAGGGTCACGTTCATTAGGAGAGGACAGGGAAACGTCAGGGTCACGTTCATTAGGAGAGGACAGGGAAACGTCAGGATCACGTTCATTAGGAGAGGACAGGGAAACGTCAGGGTCACGTTCATTAGGAGAGGACAGGGAAACGTCAGGGTCATGTTCATTAGGAGAGGACAGGGAAACGTCAGGGTCACGTTCATTAGGAGAGGACAGGGAAACATCAGGGTCATGTTCATTAGGAGAGGACAGGGAAACGTCAGGGTCACGTTCATTAGGAGAGGACAGGGAAACATCAGGGTCATGTTCATTAGGAGAGGACAGGGAAACGTCAGGGTCATGTTCATTAGGAGAGGACAGGGAAACATCAGGGTCACGTTCATTAGGAGAGAGGAGAGGACAGGGAAACGTCAGGGTCACGTTCATTAGGAGAGGACAGGGAAACATCAGGGTCATGTTCATTAGGAGAGGACAGGGAAACATCAGGGTCACGTTCATTAGGAAGAGGACAGGGAAACTCAGGGTCACGTTCATTAGGAGAGGACAGGGAAACATCAGGGTCATGTTCATTAGGAGAGGACAGGGAAACATCAGGTCATGTTCATTAGGAGAGAGGAGAGGACAGGGAAACGTCAGGGTCACGTTCATTAGGAGAGGACAGGGAAACATCAGGGTCATGTTCATTAGGAGAGGAAGGACAGGGAAACTCAGGGTCATGTTCATTAGGAGAGAGGGAGAGAGACAGGGAAACGTCAGGGTCCGTTCATTAGGAGAGGACAGGGAAACTCAGGGTCATGCTCATTAGGAGAGAGGAGAGGACAGGGAAACTCAGGGTCACGTTCATTAAGAGAAGGAGGACAGGGAAACGTCAGGGTCACGTTCATTAGAGAGAGGGACAGGGAAACGTCAGGGTCAGTTCATTAGGAGAGGACAGGGAAACATCAGGGTCATGTTCATTAGGAGAGAGGAGAGGACAGGGAAACGTCAGGGTCACGTTCATTAGGAGAGAGGAGAGGACAAAGGGACAGACGTCAGGGTCATGTTCATTAGGAGAGGACAGGGAAACATCAGGGTCATGTTCATTAGGAGAGAGGAGAGGACAGGGAAACGTCAGGGTCACGTTCATTAGGAGAGAGGAGAGGACAGGGAAACGTCAGGGTCACGTTCATTAGGAGAGGACAGGGAAACATCAGGGTCATGTTCATTAGGAGAGGACAGGGAAACATCAGGGTCACGTTCATTAGGAGAGAGGAGAGGACAGGGAAACGTCAGGGTCATGTGCGGTACCTACCCACTGAGGTGTAAGGTACAGGAGGGTACTGGTCGACAGGTACAGCATCGGGTGGTCTTCCGTACGTCATTTCATACAGTAAGTGTCCAAATGAGTATACATCTATACTCTCTGTTGTCTGAAAGGGTTAACACCAGAAACAACACATTAGGGTTAGACATTGTCTGCATCTCAAAGCCCTATGGGCTCTGGTCAAATGTAGTGCACTATGTAGGGAAGCAGCGATTGACATTTACAGACAAAAATAAATTAAACACTCGTCACCACAGATGATTTATAATCCATTTTGTCATCAACTATTTAGGCTGGTTTACCAGACCTAGATTCGACTAATACACTTTGAGTGGAGATTCCTTCATTGAGAAAGCTTAATCTATGTCCGCGAAACTGGCCCTTTAAGTAGGGCCCTGAACTTTCCCTGGTGACGCCTTGCCTATAAGGTCAGTATTGTCCGACACTGCATTACAATCCTATATGACCTGTATCAAAGACACTACAACATCTAAAATGGACATTTTAGTCTTTCAGCAGACGCTCTTAACCAGAGCGACTTACAGTAGTGAGTGAATACATTATATATATATATTTTATTCCCCATACTTTTTCATATTGGTCCTTCGTGGGAATCTAACCCACAACCCTGGCGTTGCAAGCACCGTACTCTACCAACTGATACGCATCATGCTGTCCCAACAGATACGCATCATGCTGTCCCAACTGATACGCATCATGCTGTCCCAACAGATACGCATCATGCTGTCCCAACTGATACGCATCATGCTGTCCCAACAGATACGCATCATGCTGTCCCAACTGATACGCATCCTGCTGTACCGACTGATACGCATCATGCTGTCCCAACAGATACGCATCATGCTGTCCCGACTGATACGCATCATGCTGTCCCGACTGATACACACATCATGCTGTCCCAACAGATACGCATCATGCTGTCCCAACTGATACACACATCATGCTGTCCCGACTGATCACACCTCATGCTGTCCGACTGATACACACATCATGCTGTCCCGACTGATACACATCATGCTGTCCCGACTGATACGCATCCTGCTGTCCAACTGATACACCATCAATGCTGTTCCCAACTGATACACACATCATGCTGTCCGACTGATACACACACATGCTGTCCCAACTGATAACACACATCATGCTGTCCCAACCTGATACACACATCATGCTGTCCCAACTGATACACATCATCTGTCCCGACTGATACACCATCATGCTGTCCCGACTGATACACACATCATGCTGTCCCAACTGATACACATCATGCTGTCCCAACTGATACACACATCATGCTGTCCCAACTGATACACACATCATGCTGTCCCAACTGATACACACATCATGCTGTCCCGACTGATACACACATCATGCTGTCCCAACTGATACACACATCATGCTGTCCCAACTGATACACACATCATGCTGTCCCAACTGATACGCATCATGCTGTCCCAACTGATACGCCATCATGCTGTCCCAACTGATACGCATCATGCTGTCCCAACTGATACACACATCATGCTGTCCCAACTGATACACATCATGCTGTCACCCAACCTGGATACACACATCATGCGTTCCCAAACTGATACACACATGCATGCTGTCCCAACTGATACACACATCATGCCTGGTCCCCGAACTGATACACACATCATGCTGTCCCCTAGTTTGGGATAATTTTATACGCGATCATGCTTGTACGCGACTGATCAACGCATCATGCATGTACCCGACTGATCACGAACACCATCATGCTGTACCGAACTGATACACACAATCCATGCTTGTAACCGAACTGATACACACAGCATGCTGTCGCCAAACTGATAACACACCTCAATGCTGTTCCCAACTGATCACACCATGCTGTCCCAACTGATACACACATCATGCTGTCCCGACTGATACGCATCATGCTGTCCCGACTGATACACACATCATGCTGTCCCAACTGATACACACATCATGCTGTCCCAACTGATACACACATCATGCTGTCCCAACTGATACACACATCATGCTGTCCCAACTGATACACACATCATGCTGTCCCAACTGATACACACATCATGCTGTCCCAACTGATACACACATCATGCTGTCCCAACTGATACACACATCATGCTGTCCCAACTGATACACACATCATGCTGTCCCAACTGATACACACATCATGCTGTCCCAACTGATACACATCATGCTGTCCCAACTGATACACATCATGCTGTCCCAACTGATACACATCATGCTGTCCCAACTGATACACACATCATGCTGTCCCAACTGATACACATCATGCTGTCCCAACTGATACACATCATGCTGTCCCAACTGATACACATCATGCTGTCCCAACTGATACACATCATGCTGTCCCAACTGATACACATCATGCTGTCCCAACTGATACACATCATGCTGTCCCAACTGATACACACCTCCACTTACGACAGTTAACAGAGTCAACTTATAAAACATGTTATCATTCATGAACCCTATAAATTGATACAAGTCAGTATTATCTGAGATATTTAAATTCTCCACAGCATCCTGCTATAGTCCTTCTGTTGTGATCTCCCTACGTTGATTTTCCTGAAACTGTATGGCCGGTAGTACGAGGGCAGGCCCAGTAGGCTGTTCTCTATGTCCAGTACATGGCCGGTAGTACAAGGGCAGGCCCAGTAGGCTGTTCTCTATGTCCAGTACTTACGTTGATTTTCCTGAACTGTATGATGTATGGCCGGTAGTACGAGGGCAGGCCCAGTAGGCTGTTCTCTATGTCCAGTATTTTACATGTGTTGTCTTCTATCACTATGTTAGAGGCATGGAGGTGGCCGTATGGAAAGCCCCTGTCATGGAGGAACTTCAGAACCTGATGGGAAAGAAACAGGAGAAGAGTTCAGATGGCATCACTCTGAACAGTGACATGTAGCAAACCAAGTGACTGGACTGCCATTGAGTGAAATAGGAATTAAGGACTGTGGCTTTAACAGTGACATGTAGTGTGACAATGACATTTAATAGCTACAGGGGGTGATGCTCTGAGGCTGATCCAGGGGGGTGATGTCCCTGATCCTGGGGGTGATATCCCTGATCCTGGGGGTGATGCTCTGAGGCTGATCCAGGGGGGTGATGCCCCAGATCCTAGGGGTGATACTCTGAGGCTGATCCAGGAGGGTAATGTCCCTGATCCAGGGGGGTGCTGTCCCTGATCCTGGGGGTGCTGTCCCTGATCCTGGGGGGTGCTGTCCCTGATCCTGGGGGTGCTGTCCCTGATCCTGGGGGTGCTGTCCCTGATCCTGGGGGTGCTGTCCCTGATCCTGGGGGTGCTGTCCCTGATCGTGGGGGTGATGCTTATCCTGAGGATCCTGGGGGTGATGTCCCTGATCCTGGGGGTGATGTCCCTGATCCTGGGGGTGATGCTCTGAGGCTTATCCAGGAGGGTAATGTCCCTGATCCTGGGTGCTGTCCCTGATGCGCTGAGTCTATATCCGGGGGTAATGTCCCTGATCCTGTGGGGGCTCTGTCCCTGATCCTGGGGGTATGTCCTGACGTGCTCCTGATCCTGGGGTATTGTGACTGATCCTGGGGGTGATGCTCTGAGGCTTATCCAGGAGGGTAATGTCCCTGATCCAGGGGGGTGCTGTCCCTGATCCTGGGGGTGCTGTCCCTGATCCTGGGGGTGCTGAACATGGCCTTGAGCTTTGTGTGTGTGTGTGTGTGGTGTTGTGGTGTGGTGTGTGTGTGTGTGTGTTGTGTGTGTGTGTTGGTGAATGTCATCAAGGGATGGTATTGAAGGGGGATACATATGTTGTAAAGAACCACATTTTAACAAAATATAGTGTTCAGAGTCTTTCAGCGTGTGTGTACCTCCAGAATCTGTCGTCCGAAAGTCCTGATCTGCTGCAGCTCCAGCCCCTGGATCTTCTTGGGGTTGCAGTACTTCCTCATAAAGGCCTCTTTGGGCTTCACCTACAGTCAGGAACGAAAGCTTCAATTGAAAATGAACGAACGTCGCAAAAATGTATCTGTATTATTATTATTATTATTATAGTGTTTTAACCCTTTACCCTCCTACCCCTATATCTGTAGTATTATTATAGTGTTTTAACCCTTTACCCTCCTACCCCTATATCTGTAGTATTATTATAGTGTTTTAACCCTTTACCCTCCTACCCCTATATCTGTAGTATTATTATAGTGTTTTAACCCTTTACCCTCCTACCCCTATATCTGTAGT